CTTTATCTTTTATTTTACCTATCCCCCGTTTGAATACTTTTACAGGTTTAATCATCTACAGATTTATCTTATTTCATTTTTCAGTTCAGATAATTTTATTCTACATTTTTATATGAATATCTTCTGTTTTTGCTTCGATTTCATTTTTTATATTCTCCCATAGCTTCTTCGCCTATTTCAATGTTTTTGAAGCTGTCGCAGTTTTATGAATTATATTTCTTGCTATTGCATTATTATAATCCAATATTTCCAAAATTTTCGTATCACTTAATTTCATCTCTTTCATATGGTTTGGTGGTGTATCAGCTTCTACGACACTTCACCATACTTTTAGACTTCTTATTCACTTTCAATTCTATTCGTCCAGTTACGGTAATTATCATCAGTTAATTCTTCTATGCGAGGCAAATTTATCACAATGTATGGTATATTATTTTCCTTTTATATTCATAAATTATTGTATAAATCTAATTTACCTCTTAAAGATACCAGCGATATTCTTAAGCTTAAACATCGATTTCTGTATGGAAGTTTATAAGCAGAAGGGACAACTACGCTTCTTTGCCAACAGCTGATGATTTTTATAATTTATTATTTCTAAGCTGCATCTACTTCAAAAGGAAACACTGAAACTGAGGTACTTTCGTTTTATCGCAGCCACCTTAGTAGAAGTCGCCAAATTTTCCGAATGTGACTAACAATTTCAGCCATTCCACATAAAATCCTTTAGTCAAGCAACATCGCCATTTTCGTACGCGTTCATCTTGTTGTATTCTAAATTTCAATGATTTTTGTAAACAATTCTTAATACGGAGGTCATTCTGTTATTTTTGAGATACGCGCAGAAGTAACAGAAAAGAACTAACAGAAAAAAACTAACGGTTTGATTTGAAATTATGAACTATTTTAGCGTAGCAGACGATTTTTTATTGGCCAGTTGCAAGTAGTTTAGCGTAGAATAAATTTTATGCAGAAGAAAAAATGGAGCTGACACGAGAATATTATCGCGCTATGATTTTAAAGTTGGATTAAATCAAGAAGAACGCTTTCAATGTCTACAATTAGCATTTGGAAATGAAGGTCTGCCATATGGGAAGTGTTAATCGATGATAAACACTGGATCCGCTGTTATACATAAAATTATTCATGAAGAATTGCATGTGAAAAAAAATAGTCTGGCGTTGGATTCCCCATAATTTAACTGAGCACCAAAAACAGGAGCGTGTTTTTGGTGCTTTTGGTCCCCTTAAATTACTTGAAGATAGTGGCCGCCGCATTACTTCTAAAATCGTAAAATTAGTGAGGAAACTTACATACCATTTTTTGACTTTCCAACCTATCAAAACAGTAAAATGTTGGTCTTTGAAGATGATCCCACGCCCACAATGGCGAAAAGACAAAATGTGATGAAAAACGTTATGTACGCCATTTTCTTCAGTAGTGCATGACTGATCAAAGCCATGAAACTGGAAAGACAGAAAATTGTCACAACTAACTGGTACACCACTAAGTGTCTTCTAGAAATTCCTTAAGAAGTAAACCTTAGAGGACTTATGCTCCACTATGAAAATGCATCTTCTGATTCAGCAAGAGTTACAGTTGAGTTTTTTGAACAAAAACACATCAGAGGGATAGAACATCAACACTATTCACATAATTTAGCTATGTGGGACTTTTGGCTATTTTGTAATCTAAAAACGACTCTACATGGGCGTCGTTTTCATTCCGGAGATGAGATTGATAAGGCTATAAGTGCCTTTCTTTCATCGGTTCCAAAGATGGAATGGCTTGAACCATTTAATTTTTGGAAAATTCATCCACAGAAGTGCCTTACGGAGAATACTAGAGGAGACTACCTTGAATACTCTAAAATTTCGTAAAAAAAAAAAAAAAACTTGTGTAAATCTCAAAACCTTCATTGAGTGACTCTCATATCTTTGCCTTAACTCAATTTTAAAAAAATGTGCTTTTCGAATTTGCCAGCAATGGAAGAAACTGAGGTAAAATTTCTGTGGGACTGCAGTATTGTGCGGCAAAATGACTAAAAAGAACTATGATTAGAAGCGTTCAGTAGATAGCCAGTGCGCAATGCCGAGGTCGCTCGAAATGCCGAGTTTGAAGTATTCTTCGATGTCTTTTAAAGCGGAAACAGGCAGTACCTCCTACATACATGAAACAGGCCGCTGTATGCAAAAGGAGAATACCGGAAAAAATTGCAGGATTTCGGGAAAACTGTGAGTGTTTTATTTTTTATATATCATTAAATCCTTATTTAATGAATAATATTTGTATTTTAAATTAATAAAGAGTTTATTTTTTAATTTAAAGTTATTAAAGTTTTGGTGCTACTTTGGTAGACAGACGAACGAAATTTTGGAGATACATTTTTGGCGCAATGATTGGCGCGGTTTTTACAATCGCCTGCCATCTGAAAAACATCGTTAAGCATAGCAAAATATTCAAACCTTTAAAAATATGTAATATCGTTGAAAATAATGTGTTAATTTTTGTTGAAAACGTCGTTTCGTCCTTTCGCCAGCGTTATATAAGATTAAAATATTACTTGAATTGAAACACTTGAAAATAAAGTAATTTTATATAATACAGTTATTTCAGTGTAAAACATCTGTGGCAATAAAAAAATATCACAGCAATCGTTGAAAATAATGTATTAGTTTTTTTTATAAAAAATGAAATATACATGAATAAAGTAACAGAAAAATATGCACTTAACGTTTTTATCCTTATCTAATAACTTATAAGAATATACTGGTTAAGTAAGAAAGAAAAAAACCCAGAATCATAATTTGAAAAATGAAAAAGCAAGGGGGCAATAAAAAATTAAAAAACACAAACTTTATAGATAGATAAAACAATTTATGGCCAAATTAATGGATCGTGAAGATTATAAAAAATGAAAAAATAAAAATATTATTTCCAATAACAGATATTGTTTTTACGATTCCAAAGACCCTGGTACATACGCCAGTCCCTGATATATACGCCAATCAGCCCAATTTATATCTCGAATAATTTCGAGAAATTTAACATAATGATGCTCATGAAGCATGCTCATTAACACAAGGATGCTCATTCAATGAAGAGCAAATTTTCCTAAACAAATACCAGATTATGTATTCTTCAAAGTCTCTTTGACGATTGTAAACCGGCAAAGAGTTTTTGAAGTCACGCTATTGTCTTTCAACTGTATTTGCGTGAGCTCCGGTCTCCCAATCTACGAAATGGAGCGAATGGTTAACTTGCAAGTGATTAAAAACTTTTTCTCTGAAACAGACATAAGCTTTTCAGCAGTCCGAAATAATTTGGATTCCGGGTTCGATCCAATGCTTAATTAAAGCGAGAAGAGTGTCTGCTGTTCTGTCTTCCACAGCAACCAAAAATCAGCGACCTGAATCAATCGATCCCTATCATACTTTCTTTTCCCAATTTTAGACTCTTGAGTCTCCACAATTTTCCCTGGCTCCCGATCTTCTCCGTTTCAATTTCTACAAAATTCACTAAAACGTAAGTTACACAACTGCGTCACTCGGCTACAGACTCTGAAAAAATGCTCAGCTCATTTTGAACTCTATCGTACGAAGAAGCCTTGAATATTTCGTATACCAGAGATTAACAGCAATTGAAAGTTTAGTGCGGTAAAAAAGAAGGAATGTCTAATACTTTTTCAACCGTTACATCGGTTATTTCTTTCCCCATGACCACAATACCATAAGAGACCGTCCTAAGAATCGGCTCTTTTAACAAACTTCATCTGTAATCTACATCTCTCGCACTTCATTGATAAAGCAATTAGCGAGGTTTCCTCCAAAAATTTAAAATAAATTTCGTCTGACCCTTGCAATAATAAATGAACCTCTGATTTGGAAGGCCAGGTTGGCCTCCCCAAAAAAGTCTCAAAGGAAAATTATTAAATTTCGATATCAATAATTGTTGATACATGCCAATAATAACATTCATGGGTAAAATTGAAGAAGCCACCGTTATCCAAATATCGAGTAAAATCCAGAATAGAACAAAATGTGAAATCTGCGTGTACTTAAAATTATTAAAATAGAGCGGTAATCAACACTGTAACTAATCAGCGAGATAATAAACTAACCATTTACAAGCAAACCACGTCATGCGACACGGCGCTCCACTGCTAATATTGCATCAACCACAGCATTAAAATTATTTAAATAATAATAAATTATAAGGTATTTCTTCCGCCTTCTTAGCATGCCTTCCTGGTGTAGTAGTCAGCACCCTCGGCGCGTATTCGAGAGGTGCGCATTCGTACATTAACTTTACAAAGTAAATCGAATTTATTGCTGACATCAACATCCAAAAATTGTTTGCTGAAATACCAACAAAGCACTTTGTACTTTAATTAGCAATTGCTGTCTTTGCTACAAAATTAAGAGTATTATTAAAAAAACGTACTAGTTTATATATCTATCTCCTGAATTCAATTTTCTGAGGAATATCAATGATTCCAAGCTTAAATTTTGACGTTCGGGAAATCGAAGGATATTTAAAGAGGTCTGTGGTCTGTAAAAGTAAGAGATTATTAAGCCACTAAAATACCCAATGTAATTTTTCCACCTGTTGTATATTCTTTTGAATTAAGACTAGAGGTGTCAAGCAACGATTGAAGAACTTTAAAAGCATTTTGCTTAAGAGTTTGCGTTTTTCACACTTGTCAATTTTAGAAAAAGGAATTTTCATTCTCTCTCTCTCTAATGATTTCTTTTAAAATATGCGGATTATGTTTAGAAAGCAAAGGATATAACGACTGCACTTTCACCAGCAAGTAAGCAATCAAATGTGTAAGAAAGCAAAGGAAAAAGTCCTAAGCTTCAAGAATTTTGCAAAAATTAGGAATTGTTAATCTTTAAGTTTTCTGCACCACAGAAGACCTACCATATATCGTAAAAAATTAGTGTTTCGATTGAACCTTTGAAAGTTTCTAGAACTGCAGCTGTTTCACATTTAAAAAGAACTTCTACTTTTTCGTTCAGTATTTAACAATGGCGGATACGAATCAAACTGGTGCTCAAAAAACTCAAGAAATGAAAACCGAATTAAATAGAAGTGCTAGTGGAGAACCTCTTCCGGATCCCAAGAGCATCCATGACCTTACACAATATGTGAGATTTAAAATATTTGCAATAAGTGACTAAATTATGCTTTTCCTTCCTGCAAACAAAATATCGCACTCTCCCTATCACTTGATTTATTCCTATTTGTAACTGAATATCATCCTTTGTTCTACTTATAATTAGTATTTTGCAAGTCAGTATCGACGTTTTCTTCTGTTACAATCGCGTTATATAAAATCTTACAAAAAATAGAAAGAGCAGATAGATCAAATAAATCGTATCGGCATACATTTTTGCAACTTAATTTTCTTGTCGAAAAATACAGAAAATTTTACAGTCAAGTCATCTGTACTTTTTGTTTTATTATCTTACAATGTTTGAAATTATATTTATTTTAATTTATAGATTTAAATGTTTTGGGGTTGTTGAATTAGAGTTAAACTATTTATTATCAGCGTATTTAGTTATTTTCACTTTTAATTTTCAGTTTCAAAGGTAATCATTCCATCCTTAAAATGTCATAAGAATGTTTCTTTGAGAGCAAAAACAGTGCAATGGATTGTTTTAACATTTTTCAAACTTTCAAAATAAATTATTTTGGATTTTTTATATGTAAATGCAGAATTTCAAAATATATAAATTTGTATTTTATATAAAAGAATTTAGCTATAATAGCTCGAAATCCAATCTTTCAGTAGCAGTTTTAATTTTTAGTAATAAAGAAAGAATGGATATTAATGTATGATAATGTTATATCAAGAGTGAAAATTAACAAGGGTAACTCTTATTGGCTTAAATTATTTGGCATTTGTTTGCTAAGACCATACCATGTATTGTTGGTGCATTTTGGCAATGAAAGTGTCTTGATCAATGAAATGATACGAATGATTTGTTGTGACGTATCCCATTTGCAGTAAAAAGAAAGAAAAACTGTCCATTCATTTTTTTAAAAGCAGTTTATCGAAAGTAATCTTAAAGCAGCAGACTGTAATCTGATATTATAGTTTATCAGGAAATAAATGTGTATTAAATGGAAATCAGAACTAGTGCTAGACTTTTTGCTATCCGTTGCAAACTCTTGCAACTCCAAAATTATGCTTGTTGTCTCTTTCCTAAATTCTAAAAAATCAGTTGCACATGCTCTGTCACTGGGCCTGATAGAGATAATCATATCATTAAGAACATTACAGAATTTTAAATGCTGAACTAGGTGCTAGTATAGCTCTGAAAATGCATGATATTGCTTTAATGGGAAAATGCAGTATATTTATATACAGTTGTGCTGTTTTATATAGAGTTTCATTTACTTACATTTTAGAAACACTGAGGAAAATGTCATGAGTTTCAGTATACTAATGAAGTGACAGCTGTTTATAGCATAACATCTCAAAATGCATAATACAGTACAAAGGTCAGAAATTTGCATGTTCGGCAACCAGAATAATCTATTATCCTGAGCTGCCATGAAACTTTTTTTTTTCCAAAAAATTTTCTTATACATTGTAGAAACAGAGAAGCAACTGCTGTAGCTCAACTTTTCTCCTGATTTTCTGAGATATTTCATTTGCCAAAAAGTATCATTATCCTTGATAGTTTTGAATAATCCTACATGTTATTTCACCTGCCAGCTGACTACTATTAGTCCTATAAACAATAAATGAAACTCTATAAAAGCTAAACATACATGCAATAAGTGTAGCTCGTTAAATGAAACATCGATATTGGTTTGGAGGGGAATGTTATGCATACTGGCCTTCATTTTGTTGGCAAAGTAGAAAAGGCAAAAGAATTAGATCTTGATTAATCCAAGTTCAGCTCCCACTGTGAATTGTGCTTTCTTAACTATCTGATTTCATCCAGCTTTTTATTTATTTTAGTCTATTATTATTACTGTTATGATACCAAAATTAAAGTTTTAGTAAAAGATGATGTCTCTGTTTAAGTCATTCTCAAAAACTGTACTTCCATCAATCAGCCAAAGGCTATCATAATTTTGAGTACCAGTTACTTAATTTCACGATATTGTTATTCAAACATTATTGTTTTTGCAGTGTAACTTTTCTTAAAGAAATAAGGTAGCCAGTTGTTCTTATCTTGGCAGAGGTAGCTTTGATTAAAAGTATCTGCCAATTTTTCTAACGGTAAAAGTATAGTTTAGGGTACCCCTTGGTGATTTTTGGCGGTACATGGATACTGATTTTGTGCAATTCTTTGACTCGTTATTTTGGCTTGCGAAGCAGCAATTTTTGCGCCAAAATTCACCGCTACACAAAGCCAAAATAACAAGACAAACAATTGCACAAACTCGGTATCCACGTACACATCGACTTATTTTCACTTACCCCCCCCCCCCCCGCCGAATTGCACAAAAATGGCATTGTGCACTCCTTTGACTTTGTCCATGTACACGTCAACCTATTTTCACTTTAAAAAAAAAAAAAAAAAAAAAAAAAAAGAATTGCACAAACTTGCATTGCGCACTCCCTTTACTTTGTCCATGTACACTTCGATATATTTTCACTTAAAACGTCAAAGAAGCGCCAAATTCTACAATATAGGCAAACAAAAAATGCATTTTAAACCAAACAATAAAATAACATAAAAACGGGAAAACATGTTACACATTTAAGCACTACCAAAAGCAAATATTCACTTACCATGATTTTCGAGTTCGCTTCGTACACCCAGAGCCGCGTAAAAATCAAAATATCAGTCATATTCAAATGACCTTTTTCAAACCAGGTACTCTTTCTGATCGAATACTTCACGTAGTGACCATCCGAACCTTTCTTCCCACAAACCCATTCAAATCCATCTAAACGGTTTTTACGTTCGACTAGACACATATCCTTCCTACATACAGGACACTTATAATGGCTATTAAGTAAACCTTCATTTACACACCAGTCAATTAAAGCTCTTTTTCCATTTCGCTCCAAATTGTACAGAAACTTCAAATTAATCTTACTGCATTCGGCCATTCTACCGTCTAAAGAATCAAACCAACACACACCACAAAAACGCTTACAAAACATCCTATGATTCAAAATTTCCCAGAATCGTGCACCTGATTACATCACAATAAGGTTTCCATAACATTCAACTACTCAGGCTACCATAAATGAAACAACAAGGGGTACTTAAAGTCTACTCTACCCTTTCTAACTATTGGAATATATGAAGAAATGCTAAATGGAGGTGAAGTAACTTAAGTCTTCATTGCTATGACAATATCATTATCAGCAATCAGTTGATAGATGGCTAAATCTGTAATATGGTTTTAAATCCAGAAAGTATCCCCACCAGTTGTGGAGAACAGAATAAATAAGTTATTGAGAATGAAAAGTTTTCAGTGGGAATTCTCGACACAGCAATTATAGGACAATTCAATACTTTGTACCTAAAGAAGAAATTATTTCTCTTTATAAAGAGGCAGAGAGACAAGATTAAATTCCTTAAATAACTTAGATTGTAAGAAATATTTTAACAAATCAAAAATAAATGGTTACATTGAGGTTTTTCTTATAAATTTTAGATTCCATTAATATCATAAATGCTTCAATATTTCATCAACAGTTTTTTCATATTTAATTTTAAAATTTCCTCATGTCATTTTACTAGATTTAAATTGATGATCTATTTGGAAATTTCTTTGACTTTCTCAGATCTCAGACTTTGTACTGTACTGTCTTCCAGCATATCTACATACTTATTTCAGATCGATGTGGCTAAATGCATAGAATGGAAATCTTGATTGCAAAACTTTATGTGTATTCTCAGAGTATAGAAAAACCCCTCAACTCTGAACCCATGCTCTATCTTGATGGTCATAAGTTTGTTAGTAGTTAAAATCTAGCAGTCAGAGAGTATATTTGATGTTTGTTTTCTTACCCATACTTCTTAATTTTTTTTTTTTTTTTTTTCCATTTTCGGTACTAGCATTAGTAATGTGTTATTGCCAATCTCTTGCTTTTTAAAGTTCTTGCTTATCACAGTGAGGGCTCTAGAACATACGGCTAGTCATATCACAAGGTTAGAGATTCACATTAATAATGTGTTGTTTCTAATCTCTTAGTTTAAAGTTCTTGCTTATCACAGTGAGGGATCTGAAACATAATGCTAGTGATGGGACAAATACTTGGAAACTATTAGTAGGCTATTTATGCTAGAAAGATCATTCTTATTCGTAACAATCTTTGAAACAGCATTTTATGCTTTATAGTATTTTCTGCATTTCTCACCTGTGTTTGAAAAATAAATTAAAATGTCTGAATCCCTTAACGTTCATAGATGCGAAATCTCTTGTACAATATATTTTATATTATTCTTTAGTAGTATAATATATTTTATGTTCACAGTATTTTATTATTGCTATGTTAATAAAATCTTACTGTTGCTGTAATTGTCTATTTTACTTGAATACTGTATTTTATATAGTATTTGTTATTAACCATAGTTTGATGTAGTTGCAGTAAGTTTAGGAGTGTTTTGAAGCTCATGGATGTGGGTACACTGTTTTCGCATATTTTTTAGTTGAAATTAGTACTAGGAAAAAAAAAAAAGATTTTATATTTTAGATATTTAAGCTTTAGTGTTTTGTTACAACCATCCTTTTACATCATCTGATATAAAATCTTGATTTCTTGAGGGGAAATTATTCTCTTCAGGTAAGATTTAATGTTAGAATTAAAAGAGATCAGAATGTTATCAGCAAAAAGAGAGTATTTTTATTCTAAAATTGTAGAGAAAATTCTTTGCTAATGGGAAGCTTAAAGTCTTTTGGTAAATTGTACATGTAAATCTACATCAATGTTAATTATGCAGTCAGTATTTTTGCTACATTCTGTTATTTTAAACACTTCAAGCTCATATCCGCTTTTGTAGTTTATGGTGAAAAATATACACAGTCTCTCTCTAAATCTCTACACAGTCTAATTTTCACAATTTAATTTGAAATTATAGTTTATCCATTACTAATGCATGCTACCCAGCATCCAGATTCCTTTGTAAACAGGTATATCCAACTAAACTTTGACATTGGCTAGGAACTGTAAAGTATATATGTATCATCTGATGACTTGTTTTGGAATTCTTTTAGTGTCTTAAAGGATTTCAAATATCCGAACACTATATTATAAGAATTCACATAACAATAAGTTTTCTTAGAAGTTCTTCCTCACCAGAAATTCTTCTCTACCTCTTCTTTCGTCTATGAAATAGCTTAATTTTATAAATTTGTGAGATTTTTTTTCAATACTTATTATGAGTGGGAAGATGAGTTTTCTAATAGTAATTTATATTCTTTATTTTTTAGGTGCAGAGTCTTCTGCAGCAGATGCAAGACAAATTTCAAATTATGTCTGATCAAATTCTAGCAAGAAATATCCTTTTGATTTCTGTTTATTAAATGGTTACTCATAACTCAAAATAAATGCTGTTTGCTCAAATCTGGATTCTCATTAATTTAAACATATAAGGACTGACAAAACTGGTGAACTTCCAAATTATGGGAAATATTGCAGAAAGGGTTTCTTCTTGATTGAGACATTACCTTTTGTTCAAATTAATCAGAGTTCACATATAATTGTGTATTTATCAAATGACTGAAAGTATTAAGAAATCATTACTGTGGAATTACAAAATTTACATATGACATCAAAGTACCAATAATTGGGATTACAATACAAGTGAGGCTGAACTAAAAGATTCTGATGTCTGTTTTAATTCAGGAAAGGGAGGCAGTTGTAATAATAAAGAGTTCATTTTTAGTTTAATTAAAAAAAACTTTGAAATAAATCACATGAACTTTAACTTGAAACAAATGTATTATGACTCAAATATTTTCTTCCTCTTAGAAAGGTTTAGTTTTAGTGGTTAAATCATATAGTTTTAAAAATTGTTCCTTGGTAAGGATTATTTAAAGTTCACCAAATGTGAGTCTTGATCTCATAATGCATTAAATGCTGAAACGATTCTTTCAGGTTCACATCACTTTAGGAACATATAAAAACCTAGCAAGTTTTTATACCATGAACTGATGCCTATTATCAAGTAGCATGGATTGCTTATTTGCTTGCATGGTACTGCTTTCTTATCTCATTTCTGAACTAGTGAAAAATATTGATTTTATTCAGCAGTCTTACCGAGATCTCACTATAATGTGTCATCCATCCATTGACATGCCATAAGCCACAGAATCCAATGTTTATTAGGAAGGGATTTTATTATGCATATAGTTGGCTACAGCTGCTGTTGTCCACTCTGAATTGTTATTTGGTAATTACTAGACCACATAAATCTTTTTTTATAAAAGATAATTTGGTACTATAACATTGCTTGCCAAACCGTGACAAGAATCACTGGGCAAAGTTCTGTGTTGCCAAAGTACACAACAGGGAATTTTATAAAAATATATTTATCTGGCCCGCCATCTATCTTGGTGGTGGTAATGCAAGCAGCTTTGGAATTTGAGGATCATATTTGTGGTTTTGGTTAATTGTGACTAGTAGTGGAGTTTTTCCTCCCCTTTGTAATGGCTCATGATGCCACTGTGAGGGGTTTGCCTGCTAATGAAAAGAAATGTATTACACTTATTTGATAACATGGTATTCTGCATAGTAATACAGAATGTAGGAACGGGCATTCTGTGAAGCTAATTTATGTCATTCTCTAAATTTTTTTTTTCTTTTAAGTTAAAACAAATTACTGTGCACATAGCCAGAAGACCAGGTAAAAAGAAAGTTAGGTATTTTTATGTCGCATGTTCGTTACAGTTTTTATTTAGTTAAATTTGTTGCTGCTTTATGTAATTTTCAGTATTTCATTATAGATGTTTGTTTTATGTAATTAATGTTTCACTATAGATGTTTATTGCATTTTAATTTCATTAGTTCATTGCTGTTGTATTTAATTTTCAACACACCACTATTTTTTAAAGTAGCTGCAGTTTTTTACATGTTGACAAAAAATTAGTCACCAACAATTGCCAACTTTGTGGGTAATCCAAGAGTTCCAATATTTTTGTACAAACATATATTGCTAAGTTTTTTCGTGTGATATCTGCTACGATTTTATGAAACTGAAATATTCTTTTTTGGCTTTTATTATTACATTATATTTTTGACTTTTATTATTACATTTTTATTATTACATAGTCTAATCTTTTGATTATGATTCAGCCATTGACTACTCTTTAATAAGAGCATTTGATGGCATCAACTGAAACAAATAAGTTGTTGTAATTCCTTCCGTTTAAATACTATTGTTCTTGGCTGCAGTGGTTCACAAATCAGTTTTGAGAAAATAGCAATACTAAAGAATAATAAAAGCCTGCTTTCCCTCGTAATAATGAAGGACCATGTGTAACTGTGACAATATCTATACTTCATAGGTAATTCTCATTTATATTCCTTATTTTTCGTACATTAAGTGTTTACATAGTTAGTTATTTCAAATTCAAGATAAATACATCTGAATTCAGTGCTTAAAAGTGCTATTTACAAAATTTAAAAGTTCAAAACGTTTTTTTTTTTTTTTTTTTTTTCCTTCTAAAGAATGAGTTTGATTTCAGTTAGAAATAAGTTATTGCTTTTGAAGATAACATTCTCAATAAATAATTAGTTTTTGATTTCTGTCATAAAAAATGTGAAATGTTTTTTGGAAATGTATTAGCATGTATCTTGGGTAATATGGTAATATTTATTATCTAAGATGAGCAGTTTTTGGGGAAGGGGACAATAAATAGTAATACAGCTATTTAATAGTTTAAAACCATTACATCTGTTGCTAACTTAAATGACTGAAACTTTTATTCAATAACATGTGTAATGTGTATTTTGCAGTCATAGAATGCATTATGTATTACATCATTTATCTAATCTTTAACTCTATCACTTGATGATATGGGTCATCGCATTGATGATTTAGAGAAAAATATAGGAGACTTAATGACTCAAGCAGGAGTAGAAGAAACGGATAAATGACAAAGAAGGGACTCAGATTTTCATTGGTCATTCAGTTCTGACAGTGATCAATAAAAGTTACCATCAGTTTCTAAGAGTGATCAAATACTTATGGGCTGCAGAATGGAATACTTTTGAAAAGAACTGAGCATATGTCATATCTCATGTAAAATTTTGGCTTCCTTATAAAATATACTTTTTACAATTTTGAATATTTTTGCTCCACTGTAATATTTTATCTTTAGGCAATTTCTCTTTCTTTTACATATATTAAATATGTTAGCATATTGTAAATACAGTGTGCCAAATATTCAGATATTTCTTTGTGCTTGTAAAGTTCATCAGTATACTATAGGCTTTCTGTAGAATATTAGTTAAAAACTGATTTTATTTTTAATGTTTGTGTAAATAGTATGCTGTAAAATTTTGCATATTTCAATGTAGAATTGCATGGATGTTTCATGTTCATATGAAATATATTCATTTCTTGTTTTCTATTACTTTTCATTTAATGACATCATCACATTTTATTATGTTGTAAAATGTTTACAAAATCTCCTATATATTTACATGTAGAATGTAAGTTCTTGTTGACATTTATTTTATAAACAAACACACTGTGAATTAGAATTTCAGGTGTTATAGCATCTTCAGTCAGGGTACTGATTTATTGATATGTTAATTATATCATATATATGTTTTGATCTGCTTTGGAAAGCATCAGAAAGTGGGTATGTCTGCTGCAGCAGAGTAGTGAGAAAAATAAAACAATGTTGGAGAATTACAGCAAATATGTTTTTTATATGTATAAAGTTGAATAAACATATACAAGTTCTAGCAGTATTTGTCATGCATTCATTCATGTGACTTGTAAGTTTTAATATGAAATTTTGCATCTGTACCAAATTTGTTGGCAAAATATTTGAAGTTCCCAAAGCATTTTATATGAGTTTTAAATAAGATTTCCAGCACTAAACATAGTTGTCAGTAAAAAATGTTGATCTGAAATTTTGTTGTTAGATATCAAATTTTTCTTAGTAAAAAAATTTGTATATACAAATATTCTAAAATTTTTCTATAAAATGCCTGTTAGAATTTTATGAAATCTAAATGTTTTTCTGAATGAGCTCTTGTTACTTATTTATACTATAATTTTCTAATTTCAGTTTAGGCATTATCTTCCTTCTCTAACAGAAACATTCTAATTAATAGCAATTGAATAAATCTGATGCTTTACTTTTTGAAGTAGAATATAATTTTATCAGTATATGTTTAAACCGAAGATATTTCTGCTTATTGGGTGTGAAAAAAGAATACATTCAATTTGCCTATTTTTACAATTAGTCGCATTGGGTGTTTGTTTTCTGTTTATTCTTACTCTAGGTAATATGTATTAAATACTCAATATTTTCAAATTTAATTAAATTGTATTTTCTTTAGTCATATGGTAAACCTTTTCTCAGTGTAGAGAACAAATTTCTTTAAAATAAAATTATAATTTTATGTACTTAAAGTGATAACATCATAAAATTGTTTGAATCTTCCCTCCTTCCCCTAAGCTTAGCTTGAGACGATGAAGAAGTTTCAATATCTAAATCTGAAATAAGGGATTAATCTTTATATCCACTTTGCTTCTGAGTTATTCTATTTTAAAAAAGTAATGCTGTATCTATTGGCTTATTTAATGTACTTAGAGTGCACTTCAGTCGTAATATGCTTAGATGGCTTAGTATTATGTATTATGTTATTTTGTAGAATTTATGTTTTTATTCCAGCAAGTTAAAATCTTTCAGTTAACATTTTCTGCCCCAAAACACGCTGCTTTTAATAGAAATAAATATATGGTATCTATGTAATAGTAATGATCCTGTTTATATACTTTCTGATGTACTGCATGTATTCAAAGATTTTTGTGAAAAAAATCTCATAATTTCTTTACTTGAAAACTGGAAAAAATAGTAATAAAATTTTTTGAAATAACATTTTTATTCTGTATTCATAAAAATTTTGATGCACCATATCTAGTTTCAGAAGGATATCTTTAAATATCATTTTCTATTTACAGCCTCAGTGCTGTAATTTCATTCGTATTTTTAATCTGTTATTGGAGAAATTACCTTCGACCTCTTAAGGTTTTAGAGCAGTTAGTTCTCAACCTATTTTGCACCTTGCCTCCGTACACCATAGCTATACAATCATTTCCCTTCTTTTATTCCCAAATCAAAAAGTGCATGTGCATTTATTTAGAATATTTTTAATGTGTTTTGAAAATTAAACAAGAACTATAATTTACAAATAAATAAATAGCTGACCTTATTCCTTGAAACTATGAAATTCCCCTGTGTTTTAAAGAGAATATCAGCCATTTTGTTATGAAGTGTTATATATTTTGATCTTATTGAATTACTATATCTGTTTGAATTCTGTATCCTTTCTTCTTGGTTTCTTTCTTTCCCTTTGTTTTTCCTAATTGTATACAGTAGGTTTAAAGAATGATTTATTTTCTTATTACTAGTCCAATAATTGAACTTTAATTAAAAAGTTTTCACAGAATAAAATATAAAATTTTATGAAAACATATATAAAATATGTAGTAGTAAATATATATATTATGTTTAGGAATGTAACTGTAAGAAATCCCATACTTTTACATGCAACATTTGACACAATTAAAAAATAAAATATTGATTTAGCTAATTTTTTATGCATAATATGACTTAAAAAATTCATTAACTTTATCTTAAGCGTAAAAGAAAAAACTACAAAACAAAAAAAGGCAAAAATGATAAACATAGCACATTAAAAAGCACACATAAAGACGTCCTAATATTATATAATGTATTTCAAAAGAATTTGAATTTCAGTAATAATCTTTACTTAACAAAATGTTCTCTCATTTGTGCATATATTTTACATTGTTACCTTAAATCAGAAGTTTCTAAATCATATGCTAAAAAAACTAGGGAGGAAATATGCAAGAAATTACAGTAATTGTGTCATATTGGATTAAACAAGTTTCTAGAATGTTCTTTTTTTCAAAACTGAATTGATACAAAACCAAGATGATGGATTATAAACTTACTCTTTTTGCTAGTAATATTCGCAAGAAGCACAATGAAACTTTTATTAGACTCATCTCTGTTAAAAAATTATAAGAGTTGTTACTGTAGGGATTACTACTACACAGAATTACTAATAGAAGCATGGAATGGGGGGGGGTTATCAATATGTTTTGCTAATAATTGCTAACACTTGCATGTTTATGTTAATTATCAGAAAAATCTATTAAATAACCTCTCTTTTAGAACAGACACTAGCATGCATTTGATTTAAAAAAAAATAGAATGTTTGAGAGCCCTAGATTGAACAAATCATTGTAATTAGATAAGAAAATATTAATATGTACATGTTGCAAAATTTTGGACATAAACATATGAAATGTTGTGAATTTAACTTACTTGCACATAATGGGCCTTTTTCCAAAAAAGACGATGCCAAACCCAAAAAAAAAAAAAAAAAAAAAAAAAAAAAAAGCATTTTCCAATTGTATTTGCTCCAGTGCTAAAATTTTGAATGATAATTTTAAGCAACTTTAAAATTGTAACCATACATTTAGGATCACAGAGAAATAAATGCCTTAATCACTGTTTTTAAATATAAATACAGCTTGGTGCAAAAGTTCTACAATACTTCATTAACAAATGATATATGAATTTAGAGAAGTAATTTTGTAGAGAATTAACATTCTAAGTATTATGCACGAGAAAATGAAAAGAAATTATTAAGTCAATATAAAGATTTTTGGTGCTTTATGATTGCCTGCATTCCCACGAAAAGTCGTCACCTCATTATCAAAAGCTGTGTGTGTGTTCATTTTGACTCATTGGTACCATTCTGTTCACCAACAATAATAATAATTAATTTTTCTGTGACAGTTACATGATATATCAAGCCACAAATTCATTGTAGCCAGGAGCACAAAGATTGCGCCTGTCTATGATATAAGTTTTGAGTACTCAATAGGCGACAGTATAAATTTGCTCAGTTTCGATTAAAGGTGGACCGCTCTCGAATGGAATCGAATCAGAACGGCTCGCTCACTGAAATGAATCTGTTCTTTCCTGTAACTCGACGCTCACTATCAGCTTTGATGGATCAACTCCAGAACGATGGGTGGATGAAGAGTGGCTAGTGTAGAGCGAAAAGAATCGAACGAACAAAGGGTCTGAGACTTGTTAGCAAGGCTGGAGCTAGGGGCGTAGCTAGAGGGGGCATCTGTCCTCGGGCGCAGAATCCAAGGGGCGCCAAACTGATGTTAGGACATTTTAGAATTAAATATTTTCCATTCTTGGCAAGCAGTAGGGGGCACGAAATCTTCAGTTGTCCCTGGGCGCTGAAAACCCTAGCTACGACTCTGGCTGGAGCGAAAAGAATCTAACGAATGGATTGGAAGAATTAGGTCAATTAAATACTAACTTGCTGAACTGGTTTCTTACAACTACAGTTTGAGATTCCCTAAATTCTCTTTTCTGCACAGAACGAACAAAAAAATTCTCGAATCAATATTTCCCAAAATAATAAAACAAACTTTTAACATGGGATGATAAACATTCTTTTCTTCCCTAAAATGTTAATCGAACTTTTCTAGCACGCTTTCAACAAGAGTTCACGTCATTTTTCGCCACTTATGTGTAAGCTTGTTCAGTAAAGTGAATCAATTTGTGAATGAGTAGCAGATCTCTTCCCAACAAGCTTTTAATAAGATCTCTACGCGTACTGTAAAAAGAGCTACAACTCAGTTTTCTGTAATCGGAGTAAATTCACTCAGTAAAGTAAAACAGTTCTCTGAATTTACGCGTACTGTAAGATTCAACTCTACTTGATCATTCAGTATATTCAATACTTGCAGATCATTCATCTCTACTTCCGGTGGAGAAACATCGAGTTGGAGATCTGACCTCTCGAGAGGACTTTAAATTCCCTCATGCTGAAAAGAGACTATAATAATAGACATCCCATGCCATGTTCGGGATTCGAACCTGGACACAAAGCTATAGCAGTCAGCTTCCCACTGTGCAATAAGGCAGATATATTTAACTATGCACGTACATATAATGATGATTTGAGTTCTTAAATGATTTTTAAACACAAGTTTGTAAAAATACCGTATATTCTGTTGTATAACGCGCAAAAAATGAGATACAACTTTACGAGGGCGCATTATACGTCGATTATAAAAGTGATAGATTAAAAATGAGGAAAAAAAAATCAGCGTATAAAAATTAGATTTTATATGTGCCTAAATGCTGTTTATTTAAAAGAAATGACATACCTTATGAATAAAAAAATTTCGTTATCAGTAACATGAAGTCATTTAATTCTCTTTCATCTTCTGTAACTTACTTATCTATCTCATAATTATTTTCTTTCTGCAAAGATTAGGCTTTATTTTTCAATTCACATATTGTCTTTAAAAAATTTCGTATCAAATGGTACGAAATTTTTTTTCTGTCAAACAAGATTGTCCTCTTTCTATTTGCCTTTCCTTCACATCTAATAAAACTTGACTTTTCGTTCTACGAGTATAAAGACTTATTGAGTGCAAAATAAGACAGCTGTCTGTCTGTCTGCTTGTTTACATCACAACACCAACAACACCTGATTGCCTTAGCTGCAGCAAGTAGACGGAATTGGTATTAGTCATATATCGAGCTGATTTTTTACAGAATTTCTAATTATGGTATTTTTAAATATAAATTTTGAAATAAATTTTGTTTATCCCATAACTGACACTTCTTTTGAATGGTTTAAGTAATCCATTTTGCATAAATGTTAAAATAGTGGTTTTTATTGTTATTATTATTTTTTTTTATTAGAGTATATGCAAATAGGATTCTGGCAATTTTAAAATATGGCCATTAGTGTATTTGTTTCTTTTCTAGCGATCTTTAACTAATAAAATGAATTTGCCAAACATGTAATGCATTATCTTGCTTCATATTTTTGGTAGGCATATTATGGCACTGACAGGGACCTGTTAATGTTAATATTGTGCCTTGAAAGGAATGCAGATAGTAGATAGAGTTTGATAACTTTTAAAGAGATAGATTTGTATTTAATATGTTTATGGACGTATTTTTCTACATATGCAAATTGTTTATTCTGTTTCAGATGTTAAGCTTATGGTAGTAGATAAATCACTTTTATCTCTTGTTAGATGTTTTTCAAAGAGGAAGTTATACTGCTATTTGAACTACTGTGTTATTACTTTAATTTTATAAATGCTAATAATTTAATCTGGAAATAAAGGCCTAAATATGACAAATGAAAATTTAATTTTTTGTCTGTAACTTTTTTCTGCACTGAATTAACTTTTGTAAATGAAATTAATTGATCTTTAAAATGTATAAAAATTTCATAGCATGGACGATTAAAAGTGAGAACTACTGAAGAACAAAAAGAAGCTAAAAAACGTGAACAGCAAGAAAAGTTGAAGATTTATTTAGGAGCTACAAACAAAATATTCTCTAAGGTATAATCCATATTAAATTACTCTTTAAAGTTAAATTTATCTTAAATTTGTTTTACTTGTAATAATATAGTTTTGCATGAGCAGGTCTTCAGAAACCTGTTATCAAAATAATTATTTATTTCTTATTTCAGCAATAAAATGTTGATGCTAACTACATAAATTGTGCTAATTGCATGTATATCAGTAGAATGAGCATTTTAACTTCTGTAAGAAAATATTTCATCTACACTAGATCTGTAATATCTTTATACAAGATTATTGCTAATGCGTTTCAATTTTTTTTATGCACATCTAAATATTGATCCAGTATATCTTTTAATTAAAATCTTGCTTGATTAAAATAATGTAATTTTTAAAAAAAATATTGTATGTTAAATGCTGCACTAGAAATAATATTGCACTAATTTTTTATTGAAAGAATGGAAGTATTCAAGACAACGGATAGATACAGTTTTTGTAATTTTGGTTGATCTTTGGATTATGGTAACTTGGCGAAAATTTGGCGACCAACTCTGCTACAGCAACCCTCTATTATTTTTTTCACTGCCATTTTGTCTTCACGAAGTAAAGACATGTTTCTTTTCTTTTTTATTTACTGAACACTTTTTCCAACAATCTACTAGCCGAATTACACTTATGCTAGAAATTTTATGTAACAAAACTGCTTAATCATGACAAATATTAACTGCAAAATTAGTAAAAAGTGCACAATCGCAAACTCCTTGCACGTTTTTCAGAATAGCACATACACATAAACCATTTACACGTCAACTTATATTTTTACTTACAAAAACATCCCAGAATTGCACAAAAATGGCATTGCACACACTCTTAACTTTATCCATCTACACTGCTATTTTCTCATAAATTAGAAAAATTTCACGAAAATGCATGAAAATTTTGTGAATCTTTAAATTTGGTAAAAAGAACATATATGAAATTACCTGATCGCGAAAAAGTATATACCCTTTCCAAAGATGAACATTTCCACGTATAAAATAAATAAAATATCCAAAAACTTTTACCTCTAAATTATGTATTATATTATAAATGTCACCAACGAATTCATACCACAAGCATTACAAATACTTAGTGTCAAATAATTAAATTATTTCCATGTACGTTTACTTCAACTGAAACGTATATCAAATTCCTACAAACATAAAATTCACAAAATAACTATCACTTAATTAAAATATCACTAAACCATGTACACGTGGACTTATTTTTACTTAAAAAAACATCCCAGAATTGCACAAAAATGGCATTGCGCACACTCTTCACTATCTCCATGTACACTGCTTTTTTCTCATAAATTAGAAAATTTCACGAAAATGCATGACAATTTTCTGAATCTTTAAATCCGGTAAAAAGAACATATATGAAATTACCTGATCGTGAAAAAGTACATTCCCTTTCCAAAGATGAACATTTCCACGTATAAAATAAATAAAATATCCAAAAACCTTTTCCCCCTAAATTATCTGTTATATTATAAACGTCACCAACGAATTCATACCGCAAACATTACAAATGGTTACAAATACTTAGTGTCAAATATTTAAATTATTTCCATGCACGTTTACTTCCACTCAAACGTATACCAAATTCCTACAAACATATAATTCACAAAATAACTATCATTTAATTAAAATATAATTAAATTCAAAAACGCTACTTAAAATATAAATAAGCACATACATTAAATTAATAAAAATTAGCTTACAATCCCAATTACTTTATTTGGCTGATCTTTGGAATATGGTAACAGGTAGTTTGGCGACATTTTGGAGGCGATCAAGGTTACTACCTAGGACTTTAGGAATAATGTGAGAAGTACTCAGTTCCGATTACGCATTATTTTGTGTGTGGGAAATGAGAGATCATGAGATATGTCATGTGACATTAATGGATGAATCACTGTTCTTTAATCGGAAAAGGGGGTATCTTTTTAAAAATATCTGCTGTACTTTATAGCAGTAGTTTCATTCTATGTTCTGTGAAACAGTGTTGTTTAATATTTGGATCCCATGGCCCTATATAAAGTAAATCCAAAATTTTTTTTTGCTTTTATATGTAATTGAAAAGAATTGCTTAATTGCGGATAAGTATGAATGTCCAATATGTGGGAATGAAATGAGATTGTGTGAAACCAAGGATATTACAGATAGTTTGAATGGCGGTGCAAGAAACCTGGTGAAAATGGACATTTTGTGATCCGCCATGCATCTCTGTCGTATTTATATGACAACCAGACTCACTATCCGCAAAATTGATACTATCTTTCACAAATAAATGTTCAAAACTTTCTTCTCCTAAATACAGTTAAAAGTCTTTAATCCGGACGTCCATAATCTGGAATGATCTATAATCCGGAACTCAAAGCTACAAACTTTCTGTGCTTACGTAAACGCATAATGCATTTATGCATGCACATAATACATTTACGCATGTGTGTTTAATGTATAACGGACAGTATAAGCTAGGCTAAAAATTATCTAATTATCTATTTCAGTTTTAATGTTGCAGATTGTGTTGTTCCTTAATCCTCTAATTGGATCCGGCTTACTATTTTTTGCAGACTGTTAGAGCAATTTTATAAAACGTAAGCTTGAACTTTCGATTATGTCAAAAAGAGTTTCCGATTCTGGAGCTGCCAAAGCACCTACAAAGCAAAAGCATGTTTGGATGTACCACTTCCGATAGTGAAGAAAGTGACAGAGAGGTTATTGAAAATGAAAAAATTTCGATTGACAAATTAGTCAGTATTCTCACAGCAATTATAGGACTTGAACAGCGGAACTTTGTAACTGAACAAGAAATTATGTCTGTTTATAGAATTAAAGAGAAAGTATCAGCATATAAAATGAAGCAACTTGAACAACTTACATCGAAAGAAATGTTTAATAAAGTAAACAAATAAATATTAAGCTTTTTTTTTTTTGTAAATTTTGATACCCTTTAGATCATAATTTCTCTATTTCATAAATTACGGTTTCATATTTTTAATTTTATAATTTCTGCATGCCATCTTACCAGATTTAAACTGATGATCTATAATCCAGAAAAACCGTTAATTTGAAATCGCTGAAGTCCCTACGAGTCCGAATTAAAGACTTTTCACTGTAGTTGTAGAATTTCCAGCCACATGAAAAAAAAATAGTTGTACCAGGCACGCGACTAAAATTTTGCCATTGAATCATAAATCACTTAAATACCACACACCACACAGACCAACTAGCAACTATAACCACAGTAAAATCCAAGTTTCCACGTAAAAGGGGTTGCCATAGAAATCAACATCACTGCAGAACGTGCAATCGTGCCAAAAACCAGCGCACAATAAATATCACCGCATTTGGCGACCTGAGGGCACATACAAGAGTTGTAGCAATCTTCATTAATTTTGATAGTTTTATCTTTTAACTAAATATAATTTTCTCTGCTATTCTCATATTTTGTTGTTAGTTGTACAGTTAATGAAAAACACGATATTTTGAATATAATTCATATGACTTAACAATGGAATTTATTTAATGTGTATTTATTTTAAATTTGTAAATATTTAATTTTTTCCCTGGGGGTAGTCTATATTTTAGGGTACCCCTTGGATTACTGCCAAGTTGTTTTTTTAACTTATGGTAACCTGAGTATTTTACTTTTAATGGTATGGAAACCCTATTATGACATGATTGGTCGTAATGCAGGATTGCGGTGATTTTGACCTGTTGGGAAAATATTCCTCAGAGCTTATTTATGTGTTTGATGTTGGTTAGGAAGTATTTTTCTTATTTTGTGCTTTAAACCATATGCTTTGGAACAAATGGGAAAGAAAACATTGATTGACTGGTGTGTAAATGAAGATTTAAATAGCTTCACTGACAGTAAATTATGCAGTGAGATTTAAGGATTTGGAAAACAGAGGTCATATCAACACTATGATAGGTATGTGGGGTGTAATAAAAGGGATTTTCAAAAGAAATTCCACCGGCAGTTTGGCAGTCCGGAGGATATTTTTGATTTTTACTTTTGTGAATGTGGCAGTGGCAGTATGCAGATTCTAGTTCAGATACTTTTAAACAGTTTTTGGATGCTGTTAAGAAATTCTGTGTGCAACATACCGTAGACACAAAAATTTCTAAATAAGGTAAGTTGATATTTCCTTTTTGTACTGCACAGATTAGGTAACATGTATTTCTGTTTTTGTGTTAGTTCTTTGTTTTATTTTGATTTAAAGTGCAGTTTATTGAGATTATAATTTTTATATGTTTTAATTATGTTTTGGATGCTATTTTATTTGGGAGGGTGGTGCACGTAAACAAAAATGGTGCCAAAAAATTTCCAATTTTCGCCAAGGGGTACCCTGATATATATTTGTCTCTTTTTCTGTATTTTAATTACAAAGGATGAAAGTAGTTATTGAAAAATAGTAAATAAAGTAAAATTGGTAAAAATATAGGTATGGATGCCCCTTGGTAATAATTGGCAATTTTTGGCGGTGCATTTTCACCAAGTTTGTGCAATTCTTTGACTTGTTATACACAAATCCAGAATAACAAGTCAATTGAATTGGACAAAACTCGATATCCATGTACATATCGACCTATTTTCACTTAAAAAAAAAAAAAAAAAATCAGAGAATTGCACAAACTAGGCATTGTGCATTCCCTTGACTTTGTCCATGTACACATTGATCTACATTCACTTAAAACATCAAAGGAGCAGCTAACAAAAAAATATATAATCTCCTCAATAAACTACATTTTGAACAATGAAGTAACATAAAAAAAAAAAAAAGGAAATTCATCTTAGCACTACGCAAAGGAAATATCCACTTACCTTATTTACAAATTTTCGTGTCTTCAGTCAAACAAAATTCCTTAACAGCATCCAAAAACTTCCTAAAATTAGCTGAACTAGAATAGTGTATACTGTCATCGCCACATAAATTCACAAAAATAAGAGTAAAAAATATCCTCCGTAGTGCCGGTATCATCCAATGTTCGACCATACTCATTTCCTTCCTATAAACAGGACACTTATATTGGCTACTAAGTAAACCTTCATTTACACACCAGTCAATAATTGCTTTTTTCCTTTTCATTCCAAATCGTACAGAAACTTCAAATTAATCTTACCACATTCAGCCATTTTACTGTGTAAACCACAAAATAACCACCGTACTCTAAGCAACATCTAACACACAAACAAGCCCTTAATTTTTTTCCCATCACTCAAATTCACCACAATTATGCAACCAATTATGTCGTAATAGGGTTTCTATAGCATTAAACTACTCAGGTTATTATATTATAAATGAAACAACAACTTAACGATAATCCAAGGGGCATCCTTATATCTATTGTAACTGAAAATTTTTAAAGAGCCACTCTCTTGTAGCTTATATTTGTTTTAAACCAGTTGTAAATAATTACAATATATTAAGCTAGCAAAAAAGATATATAAATTATTTTAAAAAATCGGCTAAACTGTACATTAATAACTATGTTAATAATTCTTCATTCCTACAATCCTGATATTCTTCGGGTTATATTTCAATGACTGTGTTTTTTCAAGCATGCACCATTTAATAGCATAAAATGTAATGCAGCTCATTTTAAATCAGATGTGTTTGTGCAGCATGATCTGCTGAAATTGATCTGAGTGTGCTTTTTAAGAAATCGCTGAATTTAAAATTTAAAAAAAAATATTTATAAATAAATATTTATCCTCTTTTTCACTTTATTATTACACAAATAACTAACACATACATGTCTTGTAATTGTTAATCATTGTGTTTGTTCTGATAGTATTAATTTATGCATAATGATGATTACCCATAAAATGTTTTTTTATTATTTCTGTATTCTTCATGTTTTTTTTTTTTTTTTTTTTTTTTTTTTTTTCCCTAAATTACTGTTGTTTAACTCGTGTATTTATACTAGGATTACATTTATTATAGAGAGAAAAAGGAGAATATGATGAAGAGGGACTTGAGTTGACTGGAAGACTTCTTGAACAAAATCCAGACTTTTATACTTTATGGAATTATAGAAGAGAAATTTTGCTTTTTTTAAAACCTAAAAAGTATGTTTATTTTGGTTAAATAGAGATATTATATTATATATTAATATATGACATTATATTCCTTATTATCATTCAAAAGAATAATCTGTATATTATTCAAGAACTGAAAAATTTTAAATACTTTGTTCATTTCAGCTTAACTTTCTCTCTTAAAATTGTATTAACATCACCTCTTTATTTTAGGCAAGATAAAAACTGCAGAAATTTTATAATCAGTACTGAAGATCATCAAATTAGTAGTGATATCAAAGTCCATTGAAAAGGAGCAATAGTTTTATATTTTAAAAGAACAAAATTTAAATTTGTAGAGACATTAGGATTTTTTGGAAGCCAGAGAGATGAAAAATGAGCAACTGCCTTCACCAGGAATCGAACCACGGACCTCTGGAATACCGGCCCAGCATGCTACCATTACACCACGAAGGCACGCTAGGGAAGTGGGAGAAATACTTTATATACTCCCCTTTTTAAAGGGTGACTAAGGTTTTAGGGGACCTAGTTGCCAAATCCTGGGTGGGGAGAATCATCATCCACAACCCTTTTAGTTCGCGCGCCACTGTAGAGACATTAGGATTTTTTGGAAGCCAGAGAGATGAAAAATTAGCAACTGCCTTCACTGGGAATCGAACCACGGACCTCTGGAATACCGGCCCAGCATGTTACCGTTACACCACGCTAGGGAAGTGGGAGAAATACCTTATAAATTATAGAAAAACAGATTTTAATTTTGGTAAGCTTTTTACATGAATAAAAGGAGTGAAAAATATTTCTTATAATTTTATTGAATCTTTAGAATAATTTAAATGTCATTGAAAACATAAATAATTAGTAATTATTCACTTTTAACAATATTTGTAAAATGATCCTTTATATGCTGAAGTTCCAATGATATTATTATGCAGTAGTCTGTCTAATAGTTAAATGCTTTCATATGAAACAAAAAGTATATGAATATTTTATTTAAAGGTATACTACCAAAATTTCTTTTCTACGTGAGCACCATGCTTGTTCAAGTATTTATCACAATTCGATATAAGTTTCATTATATCTTATTTTAAGTATTCCTATTCAACTTCCAATAATCATTCTTATATCATAGTTTTGATGTTGTCACCAGAATGGACTGAATTTTTTACACTCTTTCATAATGTTCTTTCTTTTTTGAAAATTCCTTCATAAGTTGTAAACCTGAAGTTATAAAACTTTTAGCCTTAAAATTAAAAGATGAATGTTAGAAGTTGTTTTTACACATAGTACATTTTTTTTTTTTTTTTTTCACTTTCTTGCCCATTTAAAATGAAAATCAGTGAAAATACTATTTATTATCCATGAGTTCATGTTGCTGTGGTAAATTAGAAAAAAAGTCTTGTTTCTTTTCAAGCATCAAGATTTTCTGCTTCTGTGAGTAATAAATGCTGTCTTCGTAATTGTTGTGTATGTTAATAATACAATAACTTATTCCTTCAGTTTCTTAAACCAACTGCTTTTTCACTTCTAAGTATTACTATGGGTTCTGGCAGTGTAGTCTAGTTTCATCTGTAGTATAAATTTTGTGTGGTTTATTTTTTTTTAGCAGCCCAAGTAAAATGTTTTGTATCCAGTTAGCTGCATAATAATCCACTTCTTCCTTCTCATCATGCAATTTCTATTGGATTTCACATTCTCCAATTTATGAGTCATATACCAATTGATATAAAATTCTTGCCTAGGATTTAACAAATTAGTGAAAAAAGGCACTAGAAACAGAAACAATTTTTTAGCTTTATAACTTGAAACCATTCCATTTCAGTTTTCGATTTTCTATCTTTTATGTGTTTCATTGAGACATTTGCATTTTCTTATTAGTTCTTCATTAATTATAATTCTTTATTTAAATAAATTGCATAATGCTGTTCAGGAAATTCTCACTTTAAATGTAGTTTTTCTCTGGCTGAAATTGACAAGAACACTAAAATGTTTTAATAATTTATTCTTCTCTTTAAGACAAATCTTTTCACATGGCATTTTGATATGTTTACAAGTTAAGCAAATATATTTAAAAAATGCTTCTTCCAATGATTTATTCAAATTTCAAAATTTACATTAGTCAGTAGATATATTATTCTTTGTATGCTTTTAATCATGAGCTTCCTGCTCATGATTAAAATCATGACCAATGCTTTCTTTGCTTTTTCATCCGTCTACAGTTAACACTTCCTTTACCTTCAAAGACTGTTAATGTATGTTGATGCTTAGAAGCATTTTATGAACTTTTTTGTGTAATTGTATGGGAACATAATGTGTTGTTCCCAAAGGGAAGATTTTGAATGTGGAAACCTTAAAAAACTGGGTACAGTAGTTGCATTTCCACCTCCTATCAGTTCGTATTCTAGAAGGAACCCTCACTCATTTACAGTATTTCTAGAGAATTGTTTTTGTAACTTTCAGATAAGGGAATTCTGCCAATCTGAAGTTCATTGCAGATAAAAAAAACTTAAATCATTGTCTTACAGGTACATGGACTAGGGGTGGAAAATTTTCAGTCAAATTCAGTTTATTGACATACAGGGTGTTCGGGATAAATTTGACAGTTTCGTAAGGAAAACGAAAATCTGCTTGTATGAGTAGTAGCGAAGGTCTTCATTGAGTGCAAGCTTCATAGTAGAGGCTGCAACATTTATTTCATGTGACAAAGCCCGAATTCCAATGCCAGGGTTCTTCAACACCTGTTCCTGCAGATTTGCGAGGAATTCTGCTGTACGAACGCAATCAGATCGCCTGCTAGGGATCTTTCTTCTTGCTACACCCTCGTAGTCACCATTGCAAGTCTCTAGTTCATGCCTGATTGTTTATACTGTGTTCAGGGAGCATTGAGCAGCAGTCATAATATCCTTATATTGATGGCTGGCACGAATCATCATGTAAGTTATTCTCTTCCATGATTCAGGTGGGTTCCAGTCATCCATCCTTTCGGACATCTTGTATATGAATGAAGAAGGGTCCAAACTTTTAAATGACAAGTAGTGTTTGTCAATACCTCCAACCTATGGAAAAATATCATCAATTATAAATATGTCAAATTTATCCGTAACACCCTGTACATTACATAACTTGAATGATAAAGCCATGCTACACAATACATTAAATGAATAAACTATGAAATGCTTTGATAGATACAAATAAGATAGTTTAGAAAAAGACTCTTGAGGAATGCCGTTTGACCATCTGAGTTTAATAAGCGGTGGAGATGAGTTTAATAAAAGGTGATTTTTCTGTTCATTAGCATGTATTTGTTTTAGTTCCTGAAAATTTGAACATAATAAATGGCTAAGTTTATTAATAAGTAGTTTAATGAGCAGTGGGCACTGCATATGACAAATTTCCCAAGAGTTACTATATTTCTTTTCTGAAAGAAGGAGGATTACACTAAGAATCATATCCTGCTTCATAAACTACATATATATTGATATGTTTTAAAAATTCCAGAAAGTAGCAAGATTTCATAAATGAAAGTAGAGATTTTAATAATAATAATAAAAGATTAGGCAGATGTGTTTTGTGGGAAATTTTGTAAATTACATGATAAGGTCCCTGTGGGTTTTTATGCACTTAAGCATGCTTAAAAATAGAAAGAGAAGAAGAATGCATAAAAATCATTAAGGATATGTTCATATATGGCATTCAGTAAAAAACTGTGTAATATGAAAAATGATTTTCTTTATTTTTTTGGAAAGTTGTATTTTTTACACAATTTAAAGATTTTTTTAAAATCTTAATATTCAAGTCAGTAAACTACATTAATGAATTAAAATTGCGTATTAATGGAGAGAACACAAATTAAAGTGCAGATAAGATTATAAAAATAAAAATGTGTGTTTGAACCATGTGCATTTATCAAAATTTAGGTTAAAGGTTGAAAATTTCTAAATTTTGTAATATGTTAGTTTCAGGGTAAAAAGAAATGATAAATCTTGATTAATTTGCATTATATCTCAATAGTAACAGTTCTTTATTATGTAATTTTAATTATATTTTATGCATATATAAGGAACCAAGAGGAATTGAAAGCTCTAACATTAGTGGAATTAGGTTTGACCCAAAATTGTTTAAGAGTTAATCCCAAATCATATGGAGCATGGCATCATCGTTTCTGGGTTATGGAGTTTGATCCTGATGCTGACTGGAAAAAAGAATTAAAATTGTGCGGATATTTTCTGTCTAAGGATGAAAGAAATTGTAAGTTTTTCTATTAATTTATAGATTTAAATGAAATTCGTTTTGGAGATATATAATGTATGTTACTTTCAAATGACATATAATTTGCAGTTTCTTTTTATTATCTTATAAATAGTTCATTGCTGGGACTATAGACGCCTTGTTGTCAAAAAATGTGGAGTTGCTCCTGAAGAGGAATTAACTTATAGTACAGAATTAATAGAAGCAAATTTCTCAAATTATTCTGCCTGGCATTATCGTAGCACATTGTTACCCATTGTATATCCAGATCATTCCAAAGGATCTTTGAAAGAAGACATATTATTAAAAGGTACATTTATGAAATGTGAAATATTCAAACTCATTAGTCATACTTTAAGCCAGTTCAATTAGTTAAGTCAATTCTAACTTTTGTAAATTTTCATATTCTAGAATTGGATATAGTCCAAAATGCTGCATTTACTGATCCCAGTGATCAAAGTGTATGGTTTTATCACCGATGGCTCTTAGGAAGAAGTAAGATATATGCTGAAATACATATTAATTCCCTTTTAAGAATAAAATTTAAAATTTTGACAAACCACAGTATTGTAATGTCTTAATATTTAATTTTAATTGTGCTCTGATCAATATTTTAATATGAACAAGAGAATTAATAACTTACTTTTCTCCCTATTTTTCTACTAAAACTTTGTTTATTGCATGTTATCCCGTAATTTCTCAAAGAACAGTAGTTTCTATAAATATCCAATGTATGCATTCACATTATGTCATAAATATTAAATGTGGCATAATGGGAAGGCATGTACAGCAACCTGTAGTTGCACGTAGCGGTATGCAGGAAGATCATCAGGGATGTAATCACTGGTTCAGTTGAGTATTCCTCGTAGTCCACGAAAGAAGGACATCCTGTGAATCATTTTTCTAATATGCCTGTCTTTAAAGGACAGAAGTGCAACTATGGCATACATTCATAACTGCATGCCTGCAGCTATCATGCAGTTACTTTTTTTTATCATCCAACCACTAACTGAATCATTCCTTGTGGCAGTTATTCACCAGGCGAAGTTGTGTTCATTTCTGTCTTGAACATGATAGGGAAGGAGGAGTATTAGACATTACAAGAGGTATGCGAAAATATTATCAGTTGCAGCAACAAACAAAAAAGAATTATAATAATTTTAAAAAAAAAAATATTCAGGAAATTTAAATTTGTCTTTGAATAAAATGGATAGTAATTCTGTAACTATGTGTGAAAATTAAAGTATATATATGTATTAAAGTCACACAAAGTATGTATGAAAGCAGTTTTCATTCATAGGGAGATAAAGGCAGTACTAATATTTTTGGGTACTGTTTTGTTATCATGACCGGGTTTAGAAATGTACGATATGCATGTGTGTATGGATATATGTGTTCGTGTATGCATGTTTATGTGTAAGCACGAATGTATCTGTGTATATATAGACACATATGTGCACGTACATACATACATACATACATGCCTACATTTGTACATTTCTGTGTCTAATCCCGATAACAGAAAAGAACCATTTTTTGTGTGGTTATGTGTACAGTTTTTTTCAAATGAATGTAGGAAACTTTCATTATTGTTGCGACTCTAGGATTATGAATAAAAAGAAATGTTTCTCAACTAATGTTTAAAAAGGTCCTTTTCTTATCTTTTATCAGCTAATACAGAAAAATAAAATGAAATTGAAATATCCTACAAAATAAGTTATTGTACCACTTAAAATGGTAAAAACTGTATGATTTCTCGAAATAGCTTTTGGTGTTAAAATTATTGCTCAACATATATACAGAGAATATCATTTGAAAGAAATTAATAACATTATCATATATCATTTGAAAGAAATTAATAGCATTCCCATCTTGAACAATGCTGTAAACCTTTGTCAGACATGGGGCATTACATCAGTAAAACATTGTGCACATGGCAAAATCATGTTTCATAAGTTAACATTTTATGGAAAAATATGTGTTGGTATAGCTCAGATTAAGAAAGTATGTATAATTTAAACAAATATTTGTATAATAAAAAAGAGAAAAGAGAAGTAAATGTTAATTGCAAGCATTTTTATTACTATTTAATAAGTATGTTGTACAATTGTTTTTATAAAAAAGCTGGTGAGTTTTGTTTCGAACAACGACTCATGTAACTCTTTAAAAACTTTTATGGTAAAGAGTTCGGGGTTTTTCATTGCCTTTCATATTATCTTCATTTATTTGGGTCAATCTCCATTGATAAAATAGACAGTTCCTATGACTTTTTCAACAGTTCTTTTAACTGTTTCTAAGCCAAAAGCTATTTATTTTCTTTGCTGTCACTGTTTCATTGTCAACTGGCGTTATCATCCACTTCTTCATTCATCATTTCTTAATCAATTCTTTGACATCTTCTTCCATATCTGAAAATACTTTGCCACCAATTTCTTTGCAATCTAAGCTATTAATACTTTTTACATCTTTTCAAACTATGGCATTCTTCTTGAAACTGGAACAACATTGCCAAAATATTGCCTGAAAGATCTTTAATGCTAAAAAGAATCTTCTCTTTATTCTCCTGTATTGTTCTTATGCTTGATTTATTTATAATTAGTTCTCTTTCAAGAAATGAAACATGTACCATTTTTTAAATCATCTAAAACTTCAATTTTCCAACATAATTAATAGTTAGAGATAATATAAAGTGTATGTAATTTTATTAATTAATAGCATAAAAAACATTAAAATACTATGGCAGAATTTTTGGCATTAGTTATTTTATTCATGTATGCATATACATTAACAAGTCCATAAACCAAAAAATAAAAATTCATGTAGTTATGTTCTTTATGTAAATATAAATATTCAATAAATATAATCAAAGGATTGGCTTTTATATCTGCAATCTGCAGTATCTTTTCAAAAGTTCATCACATCGTCTGCAGTACTGCTATGTGCATTCAATGTTTTTTTTTTTTTTTTTTTAATTACTGCCTTGTCAGCTCCTAACTGATTTGCTATGTATAGTTCCAATTTATTCTGCAGTTATTGTCTCAATTTCTGATGAAAAATTCAAAGTGGGAAACATTCTTTCAATCCATGTAGATGAAGCTGTTATTGTGCTGAGAGCTTAAATCATGCCAGAACCTGACTCTGGTACTTCTTAGTTTTGAGGATAAATCATAATTCTAGCTGGAGCACACTGGAACCCTAAATAAGAAGGCTCTGGAACTTCTTCCCTCAGGGGCTCACTCTTGTGTGTACAGGTGTGGCAATCCCGAGGTACCCTAGCCCTTCAGGGGATCATCTTCTAGGTGAGACGGGTGTCACGATTCTGGATCCCCAGTGGTCTATCCTCTTTTCTGTCTCCTCTCCTCTGACCTGATACTTTTTCTCCTTCCATTCTCCTTTGTGGTTTCCCTCTTCGGAGGTTGGGGCTCGTCGCAAGAAATTAGAACAGCCCTTGTCTCTAGTTTTTGAGTGGCGAGAAAACTGCCCACGTTTTTGCCGTGCGTGGAGACCCGTGTCACTGGAAAGGAGGGTCCTGGTAGTTGAGGGGCAAGTACTGTCCCCAATACACTGCTTTGGCCTCTGCTTCAGCTAAACGGGAGGCACATTAGTCGTCCTCACGGGTGTCAATCGGCTGGTCACTAGTCCTTGTGTCAGTGGCTTGGGGATAAGCTCTCGGGAGTACCTGCTTTCGGGAAAGCCAACTGTGGGGCTTCAGTTTGCGTATAGGTTCAGCTAGCCCTAAAACAGGAATCTGCGTTCCCTTCTTAGCTTCCGTGGTGGGCGAGGCGTCGGACCCGAATCTTTTCTTTCTTAAATATGGCTTCTATGTTTTCTTATCAAAAGAAACAAAAATGACCAAAGTATAGAGGTAATTGATAAATCTCTTACTAAGAAAATACGTACCGAAGCAAATGCCAAAGTAATTACTGATAGTCCACGCTTCCTTGTAGTCTCGAGTCCCTCTGGCGAACTGCAAAAGATGTCCCCTTTCATAGTTAGCAAATATATCCATTCTTGCATAGGTGAACCAAAGAACGTAAAGAGTCTCCGTTCTGGAGACCTGCTTATAGATACTGTTTCGGCAACCCAATCTGCTTCCCTTTTGTCACAAACCAAACTTGGACATGTAGCTATAACTGTGTCAGCGCATAAAACTTTGAATTTTTGTAGAGGTGTCATGTCAAAAATCGAACTTCTGGGTGTTTCAGAAGAAGAGTTCATTTCCGAGTTAGCTGACCAAAAAGTCTGTGTTGCTAGGGGGATCAAAATGCGTAAAGAAGGTCAGTTGACTGACACGAAACACGTGATCCTGACCTTCAAATCGCCTGATCTGCTGAAGAATATTAAGGCGGGATATTTAAGCTGCCCTGTAAGACCATATATTCCTAACCCATGCGATGTTTCCAATGCCAGCGTTTTGGTCACTGTAAGACATCCTGTCGTGGCAACCTTACGTGTTCTTGGTGCTTGACGGTTGGTCTCTCACAATAGTGATAAGTGCACCGATGTGCCGTCGTGTATAAACTGCAAGGGTGAGCACCCAGCTTTTTCTCGTTCATGTCCAAAATGGAAACTGGAGAAAGAAGTTCAGACAACTAAAGTGAATAGAAACATTTCGTATGCTGAAGCTAGGAAAATAGTGGAAAGTTCCCAACTGCGCCCAAATACAATTTTTGCTAGTGCCGTAAAATCGACAAGATCTATTGCAACCCAGACATCTATCAGTGCACCCAACATTCCGTCACTAAAAACACAAAGCAGTGCAAGTAAAAATAACAAAGAACCAACTCATTCAATACAGAGGAAGGACTATCTGACCATTCTTGTAAGGCGGATCTGTTGGATGACGTGTGTGAGCGTCTTTGATGCCGTTTCTTGGCCTTCTCTTCTTTCTTCCGTGTGTAATATTGGTATTAGCTCAAATAGTTTCAGACTCATTAGGGATTTTTTCAATTATAGGATTATAATCTATAAACCGAATAACATGATTGAAATTAAAAGAAGTATCTTCAAGGGTTGTCCACAAGGATCTTGTAGTGCTCCGCTGTTCTGGGGCCTCATAGTCGATAAATGTTTAAAGACAGAATTTGATTCGGGGGTCGATGTGGTTGCTTATGCAGATGATTTGGTTTTCCTAATTACAGCTGAATCATTAGAAAAAGTTGAAAATAAATTTAATAACATTATGAAAATTTTTAATCAATGGTGCTCCGAGGAGCAAATGAAATCAAATGCTGCCAAAACTAAATTTTTGTTTTTTCCTAAGTCCGGTCGCCACACTCGGCCCCCTAGATTAAGATTTAACGGTGAAATTTTGAAAATCAATCAAGAATTTAAATATTTAGGTGTTTATTGGGATTCAAAACTCAATTTTAATTATAATCTTAATTATATTAAAAAACAAACTGATTTAATTTTAAATTTTTACAAAAGAAATTACCCCTCCAATGTCTTGAATAAAAGAAACAATATTTTAAGACTTCTTTATAATAATGTTT